CAAAAGGTCTCCCTAATAACACTTGAAATGGTGCTTTATTCTGTACGTGTAGTTGTAAGTACACCGTAACTTCACCAAATTTAAATGGAATATTTCTTGCTAAACCAAGAGTTTGGTTTAATTTTCCACTTGCATCTTGCATTCTGATCGTGAATTCTGGATCCCAAGTAATTCCTAGACCTATAGCTATCAATCGGTCTATCACAACAATCTGTGAACCTTGGTCCAATACACTTTCAATCTCTTCATCTTTATTATTGATTTCAGGAGTAACAGCACGTAATCCATTTGATTGATTCGCTACTACCACTGGATGATCACTATGGTCTTCATATGCCACGCTTTGATTAGCAACTATGGCAATGTTCCTTCGTTCATCATCAATGGAAAGGTCTCGTAGAAAACTTTCCACAATGTCTTTCTGCACTATAGATCCCACAGGAATGTCATTACGACTTTCAGTCAGGACTTCAAACATATCCGTCTGATCCTGCCAAAGATCCTCAATTCTAATGCATGTATCAATCATCTGTACCCTAGATGGATCATCCAAAATTTCAGTTTCTCCATCTTCGGATAAAGTTGATACGTAGTTATTCGTTTTAGTCCTTGGACGGACTCTCCTATTGCGTATCTTGCGCATAATAATCTTTCTGATAGCAGGTGATAAAGCTGCTAATTCTTCGGTACTCAAATCAACTTTAGCATCGAATATCTTCTTTGCTATATCTTCTTCTACACCTGGTCTCGAGACTTCATTCCTAATTTTATAGGCTGGAGTATATCCATGACTATCAATTTGATTCGTCTGGTCTCTTGGTACCTTCGTAGGTGTATTAATTTGAATAGGACGATACGTCCTAGGTTGAACATGATCATACGGTCTATGTTCGCTATTAATTTGATTCGTTGGTCTTGACGAAGGAATTAATTTAATAGCATCCTCGTCATCAGATTCATTAACATCTTCAATCGTGACTGAAGGCTTCTTCAAAGGCCGATCTATGGACTTTGGAGCCTCAAATCTCACTGTTTTCTGATTTCCATTGGTCGTTTCAACCAATTTCCCTGGTATTAAACCTGGTTTCTTGGGTATATGCACCCCATCAAATACTAATCTTTTCGTATTTTCATTAAATTGATTTCGTTTTGCTTTCTCACTTTCCTCCGGAGCTACAGCATTGGATCTTAAAGTTCTCATGGACCGATCCTGCTCCTTCATTGGAGTACTTATTTTTTTCCATTTGAACTATCTTGGTTGAACACACGGACATCATCTTCTCGGTGTGCTTCTAAATTCCCAAGTCTATCTGATAGTTCTTCTATTCTTGTCATCCAAACAGCTAGATTGACGTTAGGATTCATCTGCTGGTCCATGACTTTATCATCTTCGTCATCTTCCATGTTTGCAAAATAGGATTCAGCACGATCCCATCCCAAGTCTTTCGCCATTTGTTCAATTTTCTTGTAACGAGGTACATTTGGATCGTCTCGAGGCATTCTAGCGTTGTCCCTTAATTTGTAACGCTTCGAGTCACCTCCTTCAGGCATCATCCAACCTCTTTTCGTAAATTCCAGCAAGTGTGGACATTCATTCATAAAATGATCTGTCGACTTGCACAAGAAACATGCCCACTGAGTTCCATTCGAACTTTTCGGTGTCGTATTTCTTTCAAATCTATTAGATTGATTCGAGGGACCACTCGGTGGTATCGAATTAATCATTCCTTTAGCATTTTCTTTGGCCATCTGTGCCATTACTGCTGTTAACTGCGTCATAATGTCTGCTCCTTCTTTGAAGTGCGACTGTAATGACTTCACAGTTCTAATTTCTTTCATGTTTGCCTCCATGAGGTCTTTATTCAACGCAACCATCTGCTGTTGTTCTTCCGTCAATTCCCTTGGAATCAAACTTTCTAATTTAATTCCCAGAAGATCCTTAAATTCGTCTTCTACTTTGGGTTTCAATGCCTGAAGATAGTTCCTATCTGTCTTGGGAACATCTGCAGCAAACGGTAAATTAATGTGTCCCCTACTAAATGAATTAGGGTTATTAATTGGTGGGCTCGAAGAAGCAATGGAAAGTGTTTGATAGTAGTTATCAAATGAACTCCCAATCATATACTTCTCGGCCGCATTCATTACTTCGTCAATCTTGAAAGGGTCTTCCTTTCGTCTATCTGACATAGAAGTAACTGATACATCTTTCACAACTGTTTCTAGCACGCCTCTCCTTACTTCGGGAGTCATAGGTGCCAAGAACAATCTTACTGCATCACTGTTTGTGATCATTTTCGGTTCATCCATCAGCTTTTTCATTTCAGCATCGAAGAGGAGTCTGAAGATTCTCATCTTCTCCTGTTCACCTGCATCAATTGGATTAAATTGATGGACCAATTGTTCAAGCAATAATCTAGATCCTCTTTCGTCTCCTACAGATTGCGGAAACATATTCTTTAGATCCTTTTTAAATTGATCCCAATTCGGTTTCTTCACCGAATCAAAGACTCTTAATGCTTGTCTCGTTTTATAAGACGTCCATTCTAAAGCTAATCTTACTTTAGCCTCGTCAGATGTAATCCCTCCATGTTCAAATATGCTTTCAGTAGCTTCGAACCATGGTATCATTTGACTTGGATCAGTTATATCAAATAATGGTGCTGTCTTATACTTTCTTGGAAGTTTCGCACTGGCTTTATCAATCTCAGCCTTAGCTTCAGCTGACAACGCAGGCATTCCATAATTATTGGTAGTCATTTTGACTGGTTCAATCGTATTACTTGCTTGAGAGATAGTCTGATGTAACGTATCTATCAATCTAGTTGATTCAATCGACGTAGAAGATGTTGAAATTGACTCTGGAGCAATCAATTCAATTATATCTTCTTCAATATCAATCGGATTAATTTCTTTTCTCTTCCTTTTCGGATCGAGATTAGATTTCTTCAAATTCCTCGGCAAAGATGTAAGTCTTCCTCGAGATATAGATGATCCTGTTCCTCTAGAAACAGAACTTCCACGCGATTCTTCTGTCGGTATTTGAGAAGAGGATGGACGACTGGATTCGTTCGTAGGATTTAATAGGGATGTTCGAGCTGATGTGCCGAACGTAGATCTCCCAAATACAACTCCTGCTTTACGATATTCTTCCGGTGTCAAAGCTCCTGCTTTCTCCGAATTCTTCGAAGTACGCGGTTTTCCTGATGAACTAATGTTGACAGTTCACAGAAATGGTATCACAAAGATCAATACACTTCTACCAAATAATCGAATATAATCCAAACAAACGTTCAATTTAATTTATCAAGCTAATTGTAGCTTCAAAACCACCCCTCGCGGTGGGCTCCAGATAACGAGCTTGCCTCGTTTTTGTGTGAAAGAGAAAGGAAGGAATCTAATGGGCACTCCAACCAACCAATCTAATACACAATATGCGAGTTCACTGCTATCAAATTTATTTAATAGCAAGGGGTAGCGTTGGCAAAGGTTCCGCAAAGCTTTGAGAGCTAAGTACGAAGCTTTGATTAATCAATTTGAATCGTTCTAAGGATTCGATATATTCCTTTGATCAAGGTAGATTCAGCACGATTTGTGCTTTGGTTTGTATTGATTTGGGTATATCAAGAATTGGGGGTTTGAATCAAAGTAAATTAAAACCGAAACACACAGACCCCTACAGAGGGCTAGAACTATGTGCTGGCACAACCACACAGCGTGATTTGCCCTTAAGACCAACGACTGATCCTAAGTTCGAAGAATACCCAACAACTGGATATACTTCTCGCAGTCACAAGGAGCAGAACACGATGTTCCTATACTCACAAGTGCCGGGCCCGAATGGCTGCTAGCGAAGAGGTTTCAGTCTGGCGGGAGTGTGTCTTTCCTTTTTACGGATTAGCACTGCAACGTCGTCCCAAAATCACCTGTATTCCAGATACATCGGATCGCTATTTATACATACAGAATATAGAGTCGCATAGTACAATTAATTTAATAAAATAAACGTTCGGAACCGCAAGGAAACTTCTACACTCAGTCAGATACTATTTAATTTGAATCTACATGTCCTTATTTGGTCCATATTGGTTCCAAGATTCTAGTATACCTCCAAACATAGGTAGGTACTTCAATATTCATTTAATTTAATTGTTTTTAGAGAATGACTCGAATGGTGTTCAACTGTCATTGCGGTTCAACACTTACTTCGATCGTTTGTCATCTCGTCCGGAGGCAAATCAGCTCTCCTCGATTCTAATCCTATCAATCTGATTCATCTGGATTAAACTAATTGCTTCTCTCTTTCAACAGACACCCATTGTGCCTATACTATATCAAGGGAGTTACGCATAGTATTCATTTAATTACATTCTTCAATGTTTTCTACGCCAGGACTCTTTGACATTCATTTGATATGTCTTCGGAACCTCGCAGTCTTTCGATCGTTCTTCTAGTCATTTTCCTCAACCATGCAACTTGATTGGTCTATTAGACTAAATCGCAGTCTTTTAGATTAATGCATGATCTTGTTCTAGAAGGAGTATTTTGATAATTCCTGAGTTCTAGAAAGTCATTTCGAGTCAATCCTCGGTTCATGGTCACTTGAGTAAGTTCTTCCAAACTCCTGCCAGTGTAAGGTCCAATAAGAATACCCTTGGTATGTCATACGTGAATGGTCATCCTTCGGATGTAGTCCGAGTCTGGTATAATCCTGCTTGACAAACAGGTAGACTGCTATCCGTAGGTAGTATCGGGGATGGGTAAACTAACCAACTTGTGGTAGTATGGGTATATGGTCCCTTCAACTTATTAGACTGATTCAGTATTGACTTTGACTGTCAATCTGGGTCTCAATTACAGTCCTCTCGATACAAATCTATACGTGAAAATGTCACAATTCACAATATAGACGTCTAGCCAAAATTTAGGCGTGTCACCGGAGCAGATACAACAAAGCACTCCAGAAAAACACCCAACATACACATTCCACCAACATCAGCAGTATGAACCATTTGACTGCAAAAGACTGCAACGAGGACGTCGAAGATGACACCGAAGATGAAGAGGTTGAGGTTGAGGAGGACCAGCTTGAGCCATCCTCAGATGATGAAATGGTACAACCTACTCGAAAGCGACAGAAGAGAGGCAAAACTCTTGTCTCATCTACAACCAAAGCTCCGAAAAAGACTTCCACTGCATCAAAGACCAAGACCACCCCAAAAGCACAACAGCCAATCCCGACAAGTGAGTTATTTCAGACCACGGTAAAGTGAAATATTGAAATCCCTTTCAGAGATTGTTCTCCTGATTCCTTGCTATGATGGAACAATGACTCGGAAGGAGTATGATGATCGTTGGGTTGACTTTGACTCTGAAGTAAAGCAAATAATCTATGAAGCCATTGGGTGTGACGGGGCAAAAGAAAAGCCTCCTTTGGGTTACAAGATTGAAGGTAGTCCTGCAAAGGAAAATCCTATTTCGTTGAATTGTGGAGACGACTGGGATGGGCTCTGTGAAGATGTGCTCTCGAAGCAAAATGAGAAAAAGAAGCTATTCAAGGTGTCGATTACTGCTTCTCCCGAGGTAAGTTGATGATACTGCATCATGGCTTTTATTGCTAATATTGTACCAGTACATGAAGGGCTTAAAGGACTGGATGGACAAGAAGAATAAGAGCAGAAAGGGAAAGGGCAAAACTCCAGTGAAACGAGGATCTGGAAAGAGCGACAGTGGAAGGAAGTTCCATTTTGACAGCTCTTCCAATGGCTCGAACAGTGAAGATGATGGTGCCGAGAAATCAATGATGGAGGTTGAGAAACACCATATTGACGAGCTACGCCTGGAGTATGGAAAGTGCAATCTACATAAACCACAGCCTTGTAAGATTGCACAAGAAACACATACAATCTTGACATTCAATATGCTTTCTGCTTGGGCAAGGGCACTGGTATTTGGAATAATTCTCTTTCCTTGATCCATGGCTAATATTCGACATCTTTATAGGCCAACAAAGACACAGGCGTCACAGTGAAGACTCCACCAAAATCAGAATCTTTTCGAGCATTTCACCATTCTATCGAGACAACAACTCCAGTGAGTAGTATTACCGAGACCCCTGGCACAAGCTCCTCGACAGCAATCAAGGAATGGGTGGCACCAATGATGGGAGCTTTTGCTGCTATCACTCAAATGTCGCAGCAGCAGCACACTCAAACTGTACCTAATACACCTATTCCACTTCAGAAATCAACCCCGCCATCTCCTGGTGTTGCTGCTTTCAATGCACCTTCTAGTGATGGATTTGATACAAGCTTTAGAACCCGTGCCTTTGCCATGGTGGCTCGCTCTGCTCGCACCATGTGCTACAGCAGGGTTCACAGCTTGTTGGGGGCAAGCCCCCAAACCCCCCTGAGTCGGCGCCTTGCGCCTTCATACTTCAATATTTATTATGCAGTATTCTGAACCATTTTCATTGTAGATAACATACTTTTCCTATCTAGAAAAACTTCTAGGTACACCATATTTGTAGTGAGGCAATGTCTAATATATCTTCTAAAATTCAAAGTCAAAGTTAGAGACTTGCTATGAATTGAATATAAAACTTACATTTACCAAACAAAACTTTGATTACAGCCTTTATCATACTCCACATCTGTAAAGCTTGTATGCAAGGGTGCCAGGTGAAGAGCCACTCTCCATTACCCAAAGCACTTGGAGTATTTTTGACTTGTTCTAAATGGTTTGGCTGCTGGGAAGCTCTTTCAAATGCTCTTAGACAATTAGCCAGTACCATTGCTCTGGAAAACACACAGGATTTGGAAATGCAACATGTTTTACAGATTTTCCCTGTAATTTATTTATTATCATTGCAAATGTAAGTCATACTGGAATCTGGTGCCTCTTCAAAACCTGATGAACTGAGTATGATACAGGGAATTGATTTTCCAGATTTATCACAGCCCAATATTCATGCTTCCAGAACTCTGACTCATCTGCAAAACCTGAATATTCAGCTAAGGGCCAAGAGCAGATCCCAGTGCTGCAAACACTGAATGTAACATGCTTTAGGTGCTTCCACTGGTGGGAAGTGCTCTCAACTGTTATCAGACCCTTAGCCCAAGATTCAGGTTCTATTGCAGATACCTGGAAGTGATATTTCAAAGTATCATAATAGGTGCACCAATCTTGAGCTCAAGTTTTACCAGTGGAAGATCTGGTTCATGGATACTATTTAAATACCCAACAGGGTAGTGAAATTCATTGTTGTTGTCCTCTCCTTCATTTGCACCAACACTATCAGCTCTCTAATAGGTGAATGCATTTCCTGCTAAAGCATCCAAGTAGTTAATATACTACAACATTTCTGTGGCAAATGATAGTACATTCAAGAACCCATGGATCATTGTTTACTGCACGATGTATTGAGTTGAGACTTGTAGATGGCAAGCAATTTTGCTAAGTCAGAATTCTTCTTCATAATGCCTGGCAAAGTTTGAAGTGATTTCTTTTTGTAGCACTTCTTATATCAATACTGTAAAATGAGCAGCCACAGTATGCAGTATACTCCATGCATACATATGAATGTATCATGTCACAGAGTTCAACTGTTAAAGTACTCGTAGTATTGACCCTCACTTAAAGTCGCATTAAAAAGTGCCGGAGAACACGGCATTGATTCCGGCAACTCCGCAGCACCGTTTCGTGGTAAAATTTAGGCGTTTAATCTGCTGACCAATTATTGGTAATCATGCTAAGCGCCCAGTTAGTCTTTTATAATATAGGATGTATGAAAACCCCTACCCAACGATTACAGACTTCTTCCATGAATTGGACATTGCCCAGCTACAACGGAACCTTACCCAATATATCGCTATTTTCTCGGCTCTAGACTTTTACCATATCAACGAGCTCCTCGGCCTGGATACAGATGCACTAATGAAGGATAACATCGGAATGTCAATGGGTAATGCATCGTTCATATTAGCAATGGTGCAAAGAAAGGTTCGAAAAGTAGACAAAGAACGTAAAAAGCCATTATCATGGACCTAGCTATAGATACAAAATACACCGCTATTGATTAGAGATAACCGGAGTGCTGAAACCAACCACGACAAGCTTCAATAGGTACTTGGTCAAGAGCATGATAGAGGAATAAGTATGGGTCAGAAGCGCTGCCTATTTCACAGATAGTGCGAAATTCTTGACCATGGCGACGTATCCAGTGCTTGATGAAAGAAAAACATTCTTCAATAGGGTTCAGGTGTGGAGAGTATGGCGGGAGATATACAAGCTTGATACCTCTTTCATATACATATTAGTTTGTGTTGAGAGTAGTCGATTGGGAGGTTTACCTTGCTTGACATCGCTCCTTAACTCCAGGCACATGGTGAATGCGACAATTGTCCAAAACGAGAACACTATGACGGCCTGGATAGGGATTCATGACCTCAAGAAGACCATCAAGCCAGAAAAGAAATTCATCGCCACTGTAGCTCCCGAGTTTGATGTTGCTGAAAATCATTCCATCCATGGTCAATGCCGGAAGGATGGAATAACTATCATCTCGGGTTAGAGTCTGAAAGCAAGTATACAAGCTAATACTCACCGCTTACCCCTCACAAACTTTGCGGTCTTTCTTGCCTTTACACCTCGCATGCTCCAACCATTTTCACGATAAGTTGTATGGATGTTGACTGCAGCTTCATCTCATACGATACAATTGGGTGGCTCATCTTTGATTTGCATTATGAAGTCAGTTAGTTTATGATCCAGCCGCTCTGCTGCTTGTTTCGAGAGCTGTAGAAATATTTGTAGTCAGCTAAAAGGGACCAGAGACAGCATCACCAATGTTGAGCTCACCTTTTTTGATGAATACCCGAGCCGTTGTAGTGTGCGACAGATTGTTGGTATAGAGACTTCAATGCCATATTGCATTAGAAGCTCAACCTGAAGCTCATCAAGATACAGGTCCGGAGAATGTTCGATGAGGGAGACTAGATGCTAAAATAGCATAAGCTGCTATTTATGCTTGGTATAAGTGCAAACGTACCTGGCAATGATCTCTTGGAAGCCTAGATGCTCGGCCTTGCCCTCTCCTGTCTCTACATACTTCACCAATGTTGTTCCAAGTGTTCAGAACCCTTTGAACCACACGTAGTGGCATATTCAAATCAATGGCAATAGCTGCAGTCTTTTTGCCTAACGTATACTGTTGGTAGAGAACACGACGCTTGAGATCCGTGGAATAATGTCGTCGCAAAATATTCCGTTTTCGAGGCATGAAAGAAAGAAGAAGATATAATTACATGATCAACATCGTGACAAGCAGGATATCATAAATTCATTTATTTGCTTGAAGAAGTACATGGGCATCTAGCTAAGGACTAGGAGATAATGGTCCTTGAATATATAAGAAAAGCCTTGAGAATTGAAGGGTAGGTAGCTGCTGGAAGATAGGGCTCGGAAGATCAGCGGGATTTCGAGTGCGAACGAAAAAATCTCACGGCGCCCTAAGTTCTGCAAATAGCAGTAATCGCAGTTGGAACAGTCCGGACATTATAAGTGTATCCACCTGAGGTTTCTTAAACTTGAATTTGCATTGCAAAACATGTCATTAGACTAGATACAAATACATAGAATAAAGAATCCATCAGACAAGCACTCATCTCCCTGGCAGGTCTTCCGAGTCACTCTAGCGAGGACCCAGAGAACAGACCAAACGTCCTCGAAACTCCCCAAAGGAAAGCTATGTTCTCAGTAAGAGGAGAAAGCGCGCATATCATCGACTGGATTTGAAGAAGTGGCATTTGTAAAAATGCGAGACTCGGTCAGTTTCTATAAAAAGATCCTGATGAGTATGTTCTAAAGAAACTGAGACTGCTCGAGGTGGAATTTTATAAAATTTCGGGGTGGTCCGTGCGCGAACACGACCACGTGCTAATAATGTGGATTATCATTGGATACCACTAATTCTTGTCAGTTGCAGAAACATGATAATTTGTGTGCCTTGCGTAAAGTTTTCGGGTTTCAATCCAATGGGATTCAGACAAACTACCGATTTTTCCAGCCTTAAAACCTCGGTCGATCGGGACTGGCACTTGTAAATCTGCTTTAGCTGATGTTCCGCGGCTTGTCAGTACCTTTCAAACCATGCATCGGTATATCGTTCTCGGCATATTTTAAATCTTTGCTTCATAAATGTGTATGAGCGAGATGGGCGCTCAATAAATAGGGTCAAGAACTGACCGGACATGCAGAACCAATTATCTTCAAATAATTATCGACTGTCACTGACATTCACTCTATGGGAGAAAGAACCACATTATTAACCAATCGAATTCAATGATTGGATCCGATAGCAAGCTCTACCTACTCTAATCAAATATTCTGAACAAGTATTACTCTAAAGCTACGAAAACGCCGTTCACATATTGAAGTAGACCATCTATCCCTCTCACAATCGCCCCGATGACCCCATCTGGGCGGACGACGATAACAGTGCATGGCCCAGGAAGAGTTGGATAGCCTTTATACGCATGTCCACTGGCGTCGCGCAACACCAGATCGAATCCGGATGACTGTTTTACTGAAGCAATTGATTCAGATTCGCTGAAGGCAGGAAGAATGAGTACAATCTTAAATAGGCCTTTGGAATAACCGCTGAGCCCCGAGGTAATTTCTTCCCCTTTAAACCTCACAGAGCTGAAAATAAGCACCGTGTGGTGGTCTGGTCCAAAAATGTCAAATAGGCTGGTGAGAGTTCTATTGGCATGAAGATCTTCCAAATCGGGAGCCTGGGGGGCTCGATCACCCGCATGAATAACGCCGTCTGAGGCGAGACTGTACGAGTCTGAACGGATGAGGTCCTTGGTGAGGTCGGCCGTCTCATCAATCAGTGTCGAACTTCCACGGTAGTTGACGCCAAGTTGCTTGAATTCTGTGCCTCGCTTCCATTTACTTTCGTCAGCAGCAGGCTTGTCTTTGCCTTGATTGAGCAAATTGGTGGACTTGCCAAGCATGGCAGCAATGACTGGGAGACGCTCCTCTGTGTAGGTATTTAGAAGTGAAGGTGGGGATAATCCTTTGAGAACAAGAGCTAATTTCCATCCAAGATTGAACTGAGCTCAGAATAATAATCAGATACAACTTCGTTGAAATTTGGTAATTGAGCAGAACTCACGCTATCCTGGACGCCAGAGTTAGTGCCTTGTCCTGGGAAAATAGAAATAAATAAGTAAGCTTTGTCGAACAAGTTATTCATAAATCAGACTAACCTCCAGCCGGGCTATGAACATGAGCAGCGTCTAAGAGCCCAGAAAGTCAATGTTCGTGCAGCTATCGAAGAATAGATATTGAAGAGCCCACCTCCCGCAACGAAGACTCTTCCTTCCCCAAATTTATTCACCATTCGAATATTAGGACTACAATATCTCGGTTAGAAAACAAAAAAGTCGCACCAAGCACTGGCAAGAAATTTTGATAGTACGCACCGATAATGCGACATCCAAATCAAATCTCCAAATTCAATGTCATTCCTTTCCGTAACGAATGTGATTGTTTTCACCAATTCATCACGTCCAGAGGCAGTCTTTGCGTGATCAAGCTCCTTGCCTGTAACCATCATGGTAAAAATATTATTGTCAACCTCGGCGGGTATCAGGAAGACCCTAGAAACAAACTCAGTTTTATACTTGAGAATTGGAGTAGTAGACTTGCATTTTCGTAGAGCCTTCCCCCCAGAAGTGCCAAGTCTGGATTTTTGTCAGTTTACAAGTTGTAAGGAAATATGTTGAATTTACGTTATGATTCAAGCCACTCTTGATCTCAATATCACCGATTACACTGCTGACATCGTCACGAGTATCCCCAAGGAAGGTCAATCCAAGAGCTCGACGGATAGTACTATGAGCTCCATCTGCACCCACGAGATAGGGAATCTTGATCTCCTCAGGGATCTCTGCTCCATCAGGACTCTTTTTCATAATATTGGCCAGGACATGATCGTCTGATTGTTCGAAAGAACGAAGCTCAGTATGAAACTCGACTTCACAGCCGTATTTCTTCAAATGACGATGAAGAATAGACTGTTGACGGTACTGCCCTAGAACCATGGGATTAATCTGGAAGCAGATCAACAAAAGATATCAGCAAACGAAGAAACGGGCGCACGTAAGGCGTATCGGGCTTTGGTTCTTCGTGTGGATTCAACTCGAAAGTTTTCAAAATCTCGGTCCCACCAGGGATTTTGTAGATGGTACATGGGGGCATGCTTTGGGCCACGCTGAGAAAATCAGGAAGGGTCCCTAAGAAGTGATGCATTTCAAGGGTGCGAGGCTAGTGTCCCCAAGTATGTTCAGTGGAGGAATTTCACGAAAGTCCACGGTACAAACCTGAATTCCAGCCCCCTTCTGACCGATTTGAGGGCCCGCCTTGTCAATGATCCGGACAGGAATTCCGTTTTTGAGTAGAGTGAGTGCCAGCACAGAGCCTACGGGGCCAGCACCGACCTATGACATCGTGCAAGTCAGATGTGATTAACAAGGGGACATTCGATGTGGTACCCAGAGACTTACAATCAACACGGCAGGAGAGATAGAGGTTGTAGAAGACATGAGCTCGTTGCGAACAAGGTTCTAGGATGCCTTGAACCTTCAGAAAGAACGGCCTTTATATGAGAAAAACATCGCGGCAACAAATGCGTCAGCCAAATTTAAGTAAGGAACTTCGTAACAACCCAGCTACAGACAGCCTGGACGCGTTCATTGGAGATTGATTTTCCAAGCAATACTCAAACTTGCCGGAGCAATTCGTAGTAAGGAGCCGTGCCGGAACCCACGCGCGTCGCGCGCAATGCTGCCACCATCCATAATTGATGCCGAGAATGCAATTGTAGTAGGAAGCTCCTGTAAGCTGGATTATATTTTGTTGCGCTTAATGCCTTGCAGGCTGGCAAGATGGATGGGCTATTGAATTTCTGCATCAGGACCTGGGACTAGGCTGGGGCCACTCGCATCGTTTTCACAAAAAAAGTCAACTCTATAGGCCCGGAGTCTAGGGTAATCGCCTGTAATCGCATACGGATCGCATACGTGCTTTAGCGACGAACGTGACGAGTCAGCGTACCTCAGTGTCCTGTGCTCCGGGGCTTGTCAATACCATTCGAGTGATGTGTGCGTATCTTTCCAAATTCCTCAATCCCACCGCGGCATTATTCAGACCTTCAGCTTCACTCGAATCTGTGTCAGTGCTAACTTTGCCAAAGAGTGGTGAGATATAATGAAGGAAAAATCAACCACGTGCACTGAACAGTCGGGGCCATTGCATTTATTCACGAAACCATCTTCGTGAACTAACAGCGGCCAGCCAGACTAATTGCATGCATGCGTAGATTCGTTCTTCAAAATCTTCCAATTCACTGTTCAAGTGGACCTACATTGACTTCTATCTATTCGAGCATTTCGAAGAGTTACCATTTCAGCTACTTCCAATCCTTTCCAATTTACTTTGAAGCCAGGAAAACGCCGCTCAGATATTGACGCAGACCATCTACCCCTCCCACAATTGCACCGATGATCCCATCTGGGCGGACAACGACGACAGTGCATAACCCAGGGAGAGCTGGGTAACCTTTGTACGCATGTCCACCGCCGTCGCGTAACACCAGATCGACCCCGAATTGCTGTCCCGAAGCAATCTGTTCAGATTGACTGAGGGCGGGAAGGATGAGCACAGTCTCGACTAGGCTCTTGGCGTAACCACGGAGCTCCGACGCAATTTCTTCTCCTTTAGACCTTAAGGAGCTGAAAATAAGCACCGTGTGATGGTCTGGTTTGAAAATGTCGAATAGACTGGTCATAGTGGTGAAATTTCCATCGCTATGAAGAACTTCAAGGCCAGGAGCTTCGGGAGCTCGATCTCCAGCATGGACCACGCCGTCGGAGGCGAGACTATATGAGTCTGAACGGATGAGGTCCTTGGTGAGGTCGGTAGTCTCATCAACCAACGTTGAACTTCCACGGTAATTGATCCCAAGTTGCTTGAATTCTGCACCTCGCGTCCAGTTACTATTGTCAGAACGAGGCTTTTCCAGGCCTCGATTGAGCAAAAAAGTGGATTTGTCAAGCATAGCGGCAATGACTGGGAGACGCTCCTCTGTGTAGGTATCTAGAAGTGAAGGTGAGGAGAATCCTTTGAGAACAAGAGCTAATTTCCATCCTAGATTAAACTGAGCTCCGTAAAATAATCAGATACGCGTATGTTGAATTTTGGCGATTGGGAAAACTCACGCTATCCTGGACGCCAGAGTTAGTGCCTTGCCCTAAATGAGATGAAACAGGTAGATTTGTCAACGAAATTATCGATGAAGTCGAAGAAGACCGACCTCCAGTTGGACTATGAACATGGGCAGCATCTAGGACCCCGGAATTTCAATGTTATGCCGCTTTCTAGGAACGGACGCCGAAGAGCTCACCTCCTGCAACGAAAACTTTTCCTTCCCCGAATTTATTTACCATTCTAATGTTCGGACTACATTATCGCGGCATTGTTAGAATTCTGCGGAGGATCGCTCCGAGCAAGAAGCATCAACAGTACTTACCGATAACGCGACATCCAAACCAGATCCCCAAACTCGATGTCATTCCTGTCTGTGATGGAGGTGATTGTTTTCACTAATTCATCCCGTCCAGAGACGGTCTTCGCGTGATCAATCTCATTGCCTGCGATAATCATGGTAAAAATATTATCGTCAACCTCGGTAGGTATCAAGGTGACCCTGGTCCAGACAAAGTCAGCATCCATAATCTAGAATCGATAATGATAGACTTGCATTTTCGCGGAACCTCCTCCCCAGAGATGCCAGAACTGTATATACTTTTGAGTTTACAAGACATCGAGAGACAGAATGAATTTACTTTGCGATCCAAACCACCTTTGACCTCGATATCACCGATTACCATATTAACATCATCACGAGTATCGCCAAGGAAGGTCAATCCAAGAGTTCGGCGGATTGTACTATGGGCTCCATCTGCACCCACAACATACGGCACTTTGATCTCCTCAGGTATCTCTGTACCATCGGAACTCTTTTTTATGATAATGGCCAGGACATGATCATCATATTGCTTGAAAGAACGAAGCTCGGTGTGAAACTCGACTTCACACCCATATTTCTCCAAATGACGATGAAGAATAGATTGTTGACGATGTTGTCCAAGCATAACGGCATTGATCTGGAAGAATATCAGCAAAATGATGACTTCGGACGAAGAAACGGATGCACGTAAGGTATATCAGGCCTTGGTTCTTCGTATGGAATCATCTCGAAAGTTTTCAAAATCTCGGTTCCGCCAGGAATTTTGTAGACGGCACATGGAGGCAGCACCTTACCCACATCGAGGAAATCAGGAAGGGTCCCTAGAAAGTGATGCATTTCGAGGGAACGAGGCTAGCGGTCCCAAAAATTTCAACTGAAAGATTGGATGAAAATCCATGGTACAGACCTGAATTCCGGCACCCTTTTGACCTATCTGAGGGCCTGCCTTGTCAATGATTCGTACGGGAATTCCGTTTTTGAGTAGAGTGAGCGCAAGCACAGAGCCTACAGGGCCAGCGCCGACCTATAAATACGAATCTTGAAAAACATATTATCTGGTGTGGTCTTATGGCTCACAACCAAAACGGACGGAGAGACAGAAGTAGGAGACAATGGCATGATTGTTATGCAGGTTCTCCTGCAGCTCGAGTTGCTTTTATAACTTTGTATTTTGCCTTTGCCACCTTCTTGATCGCGGCGCGTTCGCGTCAGCCATTTGACTAGAAATTTCCCGTAAAAACCCGGCTTGAGGCAAGTTGACTCTTGAGGTGGACCGCGTTTAAATCACATACATAGAATTAGAAGGATCTGAAGTGAGCGAATAAACGTTAAACGAGCGCCGGAAAGTTTTTCAGCGTTGACGCAATCATTTCGCCTTCCTTAACGGCTCTGTAATTTACATACAGGTGTAAGCCGAAGGTTAGTTGATTTCGTTCTACCATGTCACTTTTCAAAACTCTGACTAGAACGTCTTTCAGACCAATTTCGCGATGTTATTCCCGTTCAGTCACCACAAAACGCCCTCATTTTCCATGCGTAGAAGTTCATGCTGTACGAGAGTCCCAACTACGACAAATGGCAGTCAACCCCATCCCATCTTCCACATCGAGCACTGATTCTGCTGAATCTGGTCCAGAACCCCCTTATGCTAGGCCGAATCCCAAGAGCTACCACGTATATCACGATCCAGCTTCCCTCCAACTGACCTATTCCTCTCAACTTCCTTCTTTCGATGTTGCCTACGAAACATGGGGTAAGCTGTCACCGAAAAAGGACAACGCAATTCTTCTACATACCGGGCTTTCTGCGTCCTCCCATGCTGCGTCAACCGCTCTCAATTCTGCACCTGGATGGTGGGAGAAGTTCATAGGGCCTGGAAAAGCTCTCGACACAAACCAGTTCTTCATCATTTGTACCAATGTCATTGGTGGCTGTTATGGTTCCACAGGTCCCTCATCCATAGATCCCACGTCTGGTACTCACTATGCGACCAATTTCCCAATCCTTTCTATCTTCGACATGGTCCGTGCCCAATTTCGCCTTTTAGATCACCTCGAAATCGACAAATTGTATGCGAGTGTGGGCTCATCTATGGGAGGAATGCAAAGTTTAGCAGCAGGCTGGCTTCATCCAGAGCGTGTTGGCAAGATAGTGAGTATCAGTGGAACAGCACGCAGTTCACCATCTGCAGTAGCGATGCGTTATGCACAGCGAAGTGGTATGTAGATATAAGTCCTCATGTCGATACATATCTCTGATGTTTGCTTTGTAGTCCTCATGGCGGATCCTAATTGGAACTATGGGTTCTACTATGATGGACTACCACCGCATACTGGAATGAAGCTAGCAAGGCGTAAGTGCTCGGTAGTTGCACCTTTCTTCAAATCTAAGCTCAATCTACAGAAATCGCTACCATCACTTACCGATCCGGTCCAGAATGGGACCTTCGTTTTGGTCGTCAGATGAGGCCAGTACTCGAACAACCACCCGACAAACCGCGGACACCCGCTTTGTGTCCTGACTTTCTGATAGAAACTTATCTTGATCATCAGGTAAAATGGCAGCTACCGTTCGCAGAAATTCTTACTTACATCTATTGACCCAATGAGGGCGAACAATTTTGTCTAAAATACGACGCGAACTCCCTCATCTACATTTCAAAGGCAATGGACCTATTCGACCTAACAGCATCATCACTCAGTGCCAACCATCTTCAATCTCCGTCTGTCTCTTCGTCGGCATCAACACACTCACTTTCGCCATCATCCACTCCCCACAGAACGTCTCACTCGAAATCTCATCCTCCGCCGGTCAATCCTGCGCCACATCTCACAGACCTCGCTGAAGGCATGCAGCCACTAGCGCAGATCCCCACTTTAGTCTTGGGCGTACAAAGTGATATTCTTTTCACAGTGGAACAGCAGCGAGAGATGGTGGATGCATTGCGTCTAGCGGGTAATGAACAAGTATCGTATTATGAATTAGGAGGGGTTTGGGGTCACGACACATTTTTGTAAGTCCAAATTACTTCGTGCAGCGTATTTACCCAGGCTTATATCTTCCATTGATAGGCTCGATGTGCTGAATGTCGGCGGTGCAATCAGAGGATTTCTGTCATAGGAGTCAGCGTATCTGTAGTGAATTGTAATTAGCTTTGACTCCATTGGATGCTTTCAACAGCTCGCATACCTTCAAACTGTTTTCAGATCATACGATATAGCCAAGGCGATTCTCCTCAGATAGATAGGCAGATTCAATATTATGAGACGGAAGAATCATGGAAGAATTGCGGAGGTTGGTCAACCTTTGCTGATAGATCGACAGTCCAGACTCCAGAGTCGATCTTATCGCTAAACCTTCCTAATTCGGACTACTTCGAGTGAAGACCTTTCCAGCGCTTAAACATATACACTCTTAGAGTTGTATCGTAACAACGTCTGCTTGAATCCCCCTCTGAGCTCAATGAACCGCATATTTGGAACGTCGGCATCGAAGAAACCCAAGCCCTCCCTGCAGGATGCAATTGCCTCAGTCAGTTGGCCTTCCTCGAACATTCACCGTGGCGTTTGTTCATGACTGGAGCTTGCAGACAGATGCTAGGATTGCCTTAATTGAGGTAAAGGTCAAAAAACTAGACGGGGAACTCGCGAGGTACAAGGATCAAATGAGTAAACTGAGGAATGGGCCAGGGAAGGTATGTTGTTCATCAAACTCTTGAATCTTTGAACCGCCGATTTAACACACCGTTATCTTCGACCCATAGAATGCGATCCAACAACGGGCACTTCGTACGTTAAAGCAAAAGCGGATGTATGAGTCGCAACTAGCTCAATTGGCTCAACAAACGTTCAATATGGAGAGCGCAGCGCTGACTACGGAAAATATGCGCAATACGATGGCCACTGTCGATGCCCTACAAGCTTCGAATAAGGAAATCAAGAAACAATATGGGAAGATCAACATTGATAAGATTGAGGTAGGGATAGATTATATCCATTGAATTTGAGGCTGATTGTGCTAACTTTCGTTACTAAGGATATGCATGACGAAATGGAGGACATGCTCGAGCGCGCCAACGAGATCCAAGAGTCCCTTGGTCGTTCTTATGCTGTGCCAGATGAGTTGGACGAGGATGATCTAGAAGCTGGTAAGTCAGGACTTTCATCACCAACAACGTTCTCATAACTTTTTGTCAAGAATTGGATGCTTTGCAGTTTGAGGAAGAGGAGGAAGGAACATCATATCTCGCTGATATCAACAAGGTTCCGGACTTCATTGACGAGCCTCCAGTAGAACTTTCCGAGGTGCGTCATTTCTTCAGTATTAATCTTGAAATGACCAATGGGATATCTTGCAGACACCTACACACGAAGCTATGAAAGCTACTGGCTAGTATGGACATTATGTAACACTAGATGCCTTGGACATTGTATATTGGTTTAATTTGCGTCTGCTTTGCACAACAGTGTATGTACATTACAGGTTTTCGGGTTATAGATGCAGTCCTCAACCGTATCTGCGAACTTCATTTCCTTCAGCGAACCAATCATCAGCTATTCTTGTTTCTTCACTCGAGGCAAGGTTCACAATTGTAGATTTGCTCTGGGTGTCTACAATGATCTAAGTAAGTTTAGGCTTCTTTTATGAACGCAGTGAGGAACATACAAGCTTCAAATGCCTCAAGACCATTCTCTCGGCCAATTCCACTTTCTTTCATGCCACCCCTAGGTACGAGTTCAAGAAAATAACACACTGGATGTAAGACTACAAACGCACCAAGGGGAACTAGGATCATTCCGGTGATGTGTGTTCACCCAGCAGAGACCAGCTTCGATATCAGCTGCGACTCTATGACCTCTCGATAAGTCTGTCGTCCATATGCCCGCGCCCAACCCATATTTGGAAGCATTGGCCAAGGCAACACCTTCAGCTTCATCCTTCAACACGTCTGAGTCAAATGCAAGGAGCGAACTGAGTAAAACACGGAGCTTACTGTAAATCGTTTCACGACAACGACAGGACCAAATACCTCTTCCTGCCATAGCTCATCCTCCACTGATATATCCGTGATTACAGTGGGAGGGAAAAAGCTGCCTCCGCTGAAATCGAAACCATCCAGATCTGAGATTCCTGACATGCGTTTCCCCCCTTCGATGATCCGACCCTGCGTACGCTCGACCATAGCTTCGATCCGTTCAAGCTGGCGCAATGAGATGACACTTCCCATTGTCGATTTTGGGTTCATCGGGTTACCCATTCTCGCTCGGATGCTTCGAACTTTGGTAAGGAACTTGTCCAGGAATGTATCGTAGATCTGGCTTGCGACGATTAGTCGAGTTCCGGACACGCAGGTTTGGCCGGAAGCGACGAATGAAGCGAAGGCCGCTCCGTTGACGGCGGAGTCGAGGTCGGCATCGTCGAAAACGACGATAGGTGCCTGGGGTTGTAGCAGGGTTCAAGGGTTCAACAAGGACAAAAAATGACAACTGGAAGGAAATTGGGTTTACCTTGCCCCCGAGTTCAGCTGTATATGTAGCCAGGTTGGACCCCACAATGCTGCCTAGGGCACGCCCGGTTTCTGTCCCAGCCTGTTTGTGAGGGTGAGCCTAGCCGCCGGCAAAATGTACCTTCATTTCAACTTACAGTAACATCGACTTTTCGGATGAGGGGATTGCTGACAATTGCTTTGCCTACGGTGTGTCCGAATCCTGGAATAACAGAGACAACTCCTGGAGGTACTGGATATGAGGTGTGTGATCATCTTAGCAGTGGCACAAAGGTTCAAAGATAATGCTAACATCCAGCTTCTAAAGCCATTGTCGCGAATTGTAGTACCGTTAAGGGTGCTTGCTAGATATGGATATGTGGTGCTCAGACTGGAAGGCGGGTCTGTCGATGAAGGGCTCACCTCGGAAGGTTTAACAATGATAGAATTGCCTGCTGCTAAAGCAGGAGCGATCTTCTTGATTGCAATTAAGAGCGGATGGTTGAAAGGCTGTTCGTGTATGGATATGCGTCTTCATTGTAGGAGTAAGGTATTGAACGTACTGTAATTTGCGCAACAACACCCAAAGGAACTCGTTGAACGTAATTCATAAGCTTTCCTTGGGTAGGAGCGATGAAATCTTGACGAGTCCTGAGCAAGGCCGCATAATAATCTCTATAGCCAAAGATCAGTAGACGCAGGACATAGAACAGTCTGCCACATACTCACAACCAGTCTGGCAAACGACCCAATTGAGCGTTCATCTCTCTTATGGTTCTCCCCGTCTGTAAGCTCTCCAATCGGGCTATTTCAGGTACTCGCTCCTCCAAAATCCGAGCCAGACGCGTGAGCACTTTTGACCGAGTAATAGCAGGCGCTTTTGACCATATTCCAGAGTTGAAGGTTTGTTGAGCATCTTCGATAGCGGCATTGATATCGTTTGAAGATATAGGATTGAAGCTATGGTAAAAAACGATGAGATCGTGTTTTTCTGTGGGTGTGAGGAGTTTACTTACGAGCGTAGGACTTGACCATTTGCAGGGTTTAAGACAGAAAATCTGGCCGTAGTACGTGAGTTTGCGGACGAGCAGAGTAGAATAATCTGGTGAACTGACCCATCCACTGCTGGAACAGATTTAGCATAGGACCGAGCATATACCCTCTTCTAGATAGACTGAGATCTGAAGTAAGAGCAAGCTGGACAGACATACTGACTATTTGCTTGAAAAGACGCTGCCTAGTAGGACGTAACATTCCACTCTCGATACGTGAGAATCTTTGGCGATTTTAGCACCGACAAATTGCCAAATTTGTTCATTCACCCGGAAGTTACCTATCACATCATTAACATTAAACTTCTGTTCATGTATCACAGGAGCCAGCGCGTTGAGGTGCAACTATATAACTATTTTTGCTGAGGGTGTTCAATTCCTCTGTAAAATGTAACAATTGTCAAAGGGTGGCCTCCGATAGCCTTTCGTTATCGACACCGTAACCCAGCATTTTCATCAGGATAATAATACAACTCAAAGTGAGTGAATTTGATCACAAGCTCCTGAGCACAAGTGTTTTACGGGAATTCCCCCATGTACTGAGCAAGACTAGGACTACAGCTCAAGTGCTCATTGACCGCGTGATCTCCAGTTGGTGCTTCGCGAATCCATATATCAAGTTCTTGTTGTGGTCGGTTCGAAAGTAGAGCATAATCGCGTCCTCGACGCGTCCAGCTGTGTTGACGCGATGCGTCACAATTTCGTCATTTAGGAGTGACCGGAACGGTTCGCGTCCATCACGTGCCCTGTGCATAAGAACTTTTTGGTTTGGTCACTTTGGTGTTACCTTGTTTTCCACTCACTGCGGGGATGAAACCCTAATCTTGTAGTGAATATGAAGAGATTAGGTACAAAACTCTTCAAAAATTCTCTGTTAGAGTTTGCTGGGACTTTTTAAAATTTTCTCCCTGAAACAATCATGAACATGGCAGGAAACGAGATTATTTTGAATATTCCTACATTAATTTCAGCCTAATCCTTAACAGATTGTTCCAAAATAATCTCAGCAACAATTTTTTACAAAATTCTCAAAATTTTCAGCCTATTCTTCGTGAGAAAAGTCCTTCATCCCCGCAGTGACTATCATCCAAGATTTGTGTGGCAACCTCTGCCTCCCTATAATGGAACCAAGACGCTCTTCTCGTGCCGCCTCGGCCAAGCCTGCCTCCAAGGTTGCGCCTAAACCGGCCCCCAAAAAAGCTACATCCGAGAAACCACCATCTCGTCCTTCTCGTACTGCTGCTAGCAAAAAGAGAGCGGCATCCCCTGAGCGCGATCCCTCACCTCCGCCCAAAAGAGCTAAAGGTGAAGAGCAGAATATTGCTCCCACTAAAGCGAAACCCAACTCCAAAGCTGCAGGAAAATCTGCCGCTGAGAACCCAAAACGATCTCGCACAAAACTCGCTCCGATAGCTGAGAAAGAGACCCCTGCATCGGAGCCGAAACCACCAAAACCTGCTCATGTTCAGGTGAAGCCGTATCTCAACCCTCTGCCATCTCCTCCCGAGCAGGTCCGACCCGGGTTACAGCTGTTTGTTTGGGGCGCAGGTAATTTCGGTCAGTTTGGACTAGGCCCCGACGCTTTGGATGAATTCGATAAGCCCAAGAAGCATAGCTGGGCCGAAGAGCAAATACAAGATGGCACATTTGGGGAGGAAGGCGCAGGCTTGGAAGAAATTGCAGGGGGTGGTATGCACAGTCTATTTATCGACGAAAAGGGAACAGTGAGTTTTGATGAAATTTTCGTCGCTATCATTCTATAACATCTGATGCGCAGATATGGTCTTGTGGTCTAAACGATGATGCTGCTTTGGGACGGATAACACAAAATGTTCCCGATCCCAAAAACCCTGGCTCTTTCCTCGACGTTGACGAGCTTACTAGCGTACCACATCCACTTCAAACTCTCGTAGACGAAGGTTTCCGGGCGGTCAAAGTCGCCACAGGCGATAGCATATGTGCTGCTGTGAATGATAAAGGCGAGCTCAGGGTATGGGGTTCTTTCCGGGTAAAGATTCTTGGTTCTCTCATGTATTTGAATATACCGTTAACGTCGTCGCCCTTCACGTCAGGTCAACGAAGGATCGCTTGGCTTCGCAAATGGTTTGAAGCACCAATTCATCCCTGTCCCGATTTTGAACGACTCGTTGAGTCATCGACCGGGCGACGTCGAAAAGGTCTCTGATATCACCGCTGGTGTCAACCATCTACTCGTCCTAACGACTCACGGCAACATCTACACGTGGGGCGCAGGCGAACAAGCTCAGCTCGGACGAAAGGTTCTAGAACGTCGAAAGATTCATGGCACAGTACCGGAAAAAGTTAGCCTAGGAAGCCGTACGCGGAAAGCCAAGGTAATTGGAGCCGGCAGCTTCCATTCTTTCGCTGTTGATGATAAGGGAGATGTTTGGGGCTGGGGATTGAACACCATGGGGCAAGCCGGGACTGGTTATGCCACTGAAGATGACTCGCAAGTCCAGCTTCCAACGAAAGTGGAAGGCTTGAGCAAGGAGGCTTTGGAGGGAGATTCAGTGGTCCAAATTTCTGGGGGAGAACATCATTCGCTGTTCTTGACCCAATCCGGCAAAGTGTTCGCTGTCGGGCGCTGCAATGCTGGACAAATCGGTCTTGCGGATGATGACCCCGCTCTCGAGGATCGAGCTGATCCTGATTTTGTGGCGGACCCGGTGCAAGTCAAGTTCCCGGATGACGATGATCCGATCGTCCGCATCTCGGTCGGCACACATAATAATCTTGCAGTCTCTAAGGATGGTGCTTTATACTGCTGGGGACAGGGTACACAGGGCGAACTTGGTGTATCTGATGTTGAGGTCAGGACTCCGCGGATGATCGTGCGCAGAGAAGGAGGTTCATGGGCAGCTATCAAAGTGGCGTGCGGTGGTCAACACACCCTCGGGCTGTTCAGGAAAAAATAGACGTTAACCGGGTTTTCTTTCTATTTCTCAATTCCTCTCCGTCTGGTTCTTTCACCTCCACAATTTGTACGCGTTTTTTCCATATAAATTTGTCATTAATCATATTTATGTGCATTGATCTTTCCTTCCCTCCAACAAATGCAGGAAAACTTAAGGGTATCGGATGTAACTAATAAGTAGACTTTCATTCCATCCAGTGCAGTATATTGAATAAAGAAAAAATTGGAAACAATTATTGAGGACCAGTCACCACACGTTCAAAACATATTTGCTAATTTGCTCGCAGCTTCCTTTGCGTCTAGTCTCGGCCTGGTTGGCTGGACGCGAACAGAGCTACTCATATATGTAGGCTTAGCAAGCCCAAGTGGGTCAAGGTCATTTTGAAGTGCGGGATGACCGTTCATGCCTCTGCGGTTCCCATCAAGAGCACTGGACGGTCGTACGGGTGCGCCACTACCCATCAACGGATCGCCTCCACCACGATTAAATGTCGGCGATGAGGGCGAAGGAGGGACCAACGGCGAGGAGTTGTTGACAAACATGGATTTCGTCCCGTCACCGAACCGGCCACCAAGAGGAGGTCCATCGTCAAGTGGTGTTTTGGCATCAGAGAATCTTTCGATGGTTGGTGTAGAAGGGCCAGCACCGGGAGATTGAGTGGGGAGTGGCTGGCGGGGGGACGGCGGAATGGACGGTGAGAACTGTCCTTGACGAGAGGCGAAGGAGGAGGAAGTGGAAATGGATCCACGGCTGGCGAATGTTTGCTGGGATGGGGAAGGCGAAATTGGAGGTTGTGATGAAAGACTTGGGGGGCCGGAGGCTAGTGGATCACTGGGGCTGTTAGCTGGAAGCGTTGCCTTAAGCCGAGGTGGGGTTTGCATTCTTGGAGGGGGAGGCGTCTCCTGACGATAACTACCAGTCGGCATTGGTGTTGGGGCAGGAGGGGGGAGAGGACGTATAGGTTCCTCGAGAGGCAGTATGACTGTTGGTTTCGGTACATTTGTTGAAGGAACAACCTTGTTGGCGGCATTGGCGACGTCCGATCTGAGAGCCTCTAATTCACGAAGCAGCTGTCTTTCGTACATGATAGATGAACGGGCGTGCTCAATCAAAGCAGCAGTAACATCTTCGTTAACATGGTTATTGTGAGTCTCAAGAGCACGATGCAAGTTTTGGGATATCCCTTCGGCTCTTTTGGCAAGCACTTGTTCATACTTGTTCGCCTAGGTAATGCAATATTTGTTTGAATTGCGAGGTAGAAGGGGAAGGAGGATGTAACGTACTTCTTTGAGTTCTTCCAGTGCTTCGTCTACCCGTTCAGGTCGAATGTTGGAACTAGCCTTGAGACGCTCGATTTGCCGCCGTTTAGATATCGAAGTCTTTACTGCCGCTTGATATTCTTCGAGAACGCCTGTTCTCATCTGTAGAGTCTCTTTTGCGGATCGTGCATTTAATCCTTGGTATCCTAAAGAGTCTCCGAGTATAACACATTCGCTGATAGCCTGTGCTTGATCGAGGTCGGCGAGACTGTGCCACGTCCTGCCAATTTTTCGGAAGGCGTTTCCTAATGGCTGGTGGGCTTCGGTAGTAGCGACATTTAGAAGCTTATTCCCCATATCGGTATGAGCAGAAGCAAGTACTGGTTGTTTACGTGTTCAGCTGGTTTTCTGGGAAAAGAGCCGAACCGCCTTACTTTTGCGCGTCATCGCGAGCTTATCCACAGCTTTCGCAGTGTCAAAAAACTGCCCCTCCAGTTTTGTTAGTTCGAAACGTGCCCTTTGTAATTCTTCATCCTCATCAGGAACACCCCTGCGCATGAGTCCGAATCCGGAAGAAGTCTTACGGCGAGGTCGTGGTGTGGGCTGGTATCCAAAGTCGCTTTCGATGAAAGAGCGCAAGTCTTCATCGTGGATCATAATCGGGTCTTCGCACACCCTGGTGAACCATCTCTGTAGCATTATTCTGACCAGACGGTCGTCTTCCTCGTCAGTCGGAGCTGATGTTTGTGCCAGCGGAAGGGCAGGTATGAGGGTTTGCGGGTTGCTTTGTACGATAGACTCGTAGAAGGATTGGAATTCGAGGTATGAGCGGGATACATTTCGGTATGTGGTGCCGGTGAAATTGGACAAGTTGGTCTGTAGAAGGGGATGTAAATAACAGACGCAAGTGATTTTTGGAGGATTACGATAATGACCTGCGCATCTAGCTTTATCAAAATATCCCGTCTATTCCTATCTAACCCTGTAATTTTTACTCGGAGATACGGTTCGGGTTTTTCGTAGGTGGACCCGTTGGATCCAACGGTGTCTCGAGGCGAAATAAGACCTGATTCTGGCTGGCCATAAATTTGTGGTTCCTTTCCGTATATTCCAGGTGTAGGACCTTTATCTGGAGTTAATGGAGGAACAGGTGTAGAAGCTCGTCGAAGATTGGGTATAGGAGCATTGGGGGAATGGGGGACTGTTGGCCATGAAGGAGCAATTACTTCATCAGTGCCGCCCCACGTCGAGTTGTTCGAGTTCAAAGGGTCAAACATTTACGTGGCAGAGTTGGTCCAATATTGTACGCTGAAACTTGAATACGAGGGTGTTTTGTCACTTTGTGATGGTCACAGACAAGAAAACGCGTACATTCGGCGCCTAAATTTCAATGCGCGCCTCACAGTTCTTAACTTCTACTTCCAATGGTAGAATGAACTTTTGACCTTAACCATTTCTATCCACTCGACGACATTCAGATCCATCTCGCTGAAGAATTCTGTGGTGTCGAGATGACTAAAAGTCCGAAAGGTTGTATCGCAAATCGTTTCATAAGTTTTATCTATTCATACTATGTAAGTATCTAGCACCATACGCGTACATCTTGTCTATAATCCCTCAAGCTGAGATTCTGCTCAAATACCGACTCTCATTGCAGCGCGTATTGAACAATCTTGACGAGTATACATACATACAGTGGTATAATCAAGTCCATGTTTTACTCAGATCGTCCACTTCATTCTGGCACCAAGGTGTCGAATAATGTAAGACGTATGCGCAACTATGTGCAACACGCAGAAGCCGACGTACGACATTGTCAACGATGAGGATTTTTTTCTTTGATATGGAAAATGATGCTATAAAACAATAAAATTACAAGTAACAGCCTTCGGAGGTACAATTTTTTTAGGCCAGAATTGAGACCGGTTCAAGGCCCCCTTCGAATTCGCAATAATCTGTATGTATATGGTCATACATATCCTGCATACATTCAGGAAATTGTGATCTTCTTCGGTGCCTGTTCAGCACTAGTCTTTGAGAAAGTAATTGTCAGAACACCATTCTCCATTGACGTGTTGATCGGGGCAATTCCTGGAGGGGAGTTTTATACAAGGCCTGGCAGTTCACAGACAGATCAGCGGAAAGTTAAGTAACTTTCGACTTCTTGGTCTCCTTCTTCAGATCGTCCTCAGTTGATCGTTTACTGCGACCGCGATGAGTGACTACCCCTGCCCAGCCCTCTGTCGCACAACGAATGAATGCCCGCCGCCAATCTGAGTACAGGGAAGGATGAAAAGCATTATTGAAATCGATTGGTAGTGACTCCTGCAGCGCACAGTACTTTTCTTTCACGACTGCAGCAAGCTCTAAAGCAAAGTCCCAAGCGGAATCGAAAAGTTCTGGCATGCTCTCTGAAACGAGATCAACCATTGTCTGCCCACCGTCTAAGATCTCTTCGCGCCTTTCAAAAATAAAAATTTTAGAGAAACCCTCATCCCGTGCTTTCTGTTGTTCTTTGCTTGGAGAAGGCCCTGATATTGGCCATCTTGTCATGAGCAGGTAGACGAAAACCCACAACGCCGATTCAAGATCATGTATGTAGTGATACCGAAATGGAAACGATGGCACGGACTGGGACTTGCGCACATGTTTTTTAGGTCTAAACAGGTATTCGCCTTTTATCACTTCGACAGGCATGAAGAACGGTGTGCCCTAGCGAGTCGAATTAGTCAGATCACAAGAATTATCCAGTAGACTCACTGTTTTGACATCTGATGATGCAGAGCGAGGTTCAATTGCTGGCTGAACACGCTTCGCGTATTCCAAGTCATTAAGCTTGGCGTTCCCATCTTTTACCAACACATTTGCAGCGCTGATGTCGCGATGAACAAAGCCAGCAGAATGCATATACGAAAGAGCTAGGACTTAGAATTAGAAAGATTTATGTACTTCCAGAGGAGGATGAACAAGGCTCACCGATAATTAGCGATTCTAATGCCTTCAAAACAATATCCCAGTTCGTCATCTGATCCAGCGGTTCACCCGCAAACTCCGATAGTTGTCGACAATGGACTTTGGGTGCGTAGATCCTACGATCGAGTCTCGCAAGGTGAACAGCGGTAGCTTCACGGAGGACAGTTTCCTGACGTCGTTCACGTCCCGGTCCAGATTCCATCATGATTGAGTCTGGAATGCTCACACTCATTACTCGTTGGTAATTAGAGGACTGTGTTGAAACTGTGAAACGCTTGACGTCGGAAGGAAAAGTTTGTCCCCGAAGAAAATTCGAGGTGGAGTCAGGAATCTGTCCCTTCTCAGTTGCAAAGGGTACCTGAACTTTCTCGCAGGCTTCAATCTTGACAAAGTATCTATTGAAAGCGCTTCGGTCTAGGTTTGGGACGGCGTTAACCTTCTGGATATTAGTTTCGATGGCTGAACGAGTTTCTAGTTCCGTACAAGAGTCCTCAGGTAACCAATAGTCTTTGATCACCTTGACCTCGCTATCAAGGTCTCCTTTGTCACTGAGAACCTGCCGAACTTTGAATAAACGACTGGCGCATCCGAGCAGAAATTTTGCCTTTCGAACAGTGATAACTTCCGTGGTAATGTATTGCTTGCCGTCGATGGTGAAGATATAGCGTGAACCGGTTCCGTCCTTTCCCTGTACTCTCCTGACTGTAGGGTCATATCCTAGCTCCTCCCGACAGGCTCCGCTGAGGGACAAAGCAAAGTAGATTAGGTTTTTGGCATCCTGTTGAGATAAACATTCAAAATCAGGAATATAGGGAGATTGGAGTATTCACGATATGCAGATCCATCGCCTCTGTAACGAATACATGCGACCGGGAGAAGAACCATAGTCGAACATTGAATTTATCGATCGTTAAGCCAAACATAAATCGACGTGTGGGATCAGCACCCATAATATGTGTCGCATTGGATAAAACTTTCTTGTTATTCTACACGGAAATTAGCATATCAGAAGCCCGTACGGAATTCTTACCCACATCATCGACAGTGTCCGGCGTAGACTTCTTGTTCAGTTCCCCCGTCATCAAAACATCGCACTCGTATTCTGCTCCTTCAGTAATAGGATGAACTGCTGTGGTTTTGGTTAGAAGGCCGTTGATGTCCGCTTTATAGTGTGAATGATCGCCTTCTGAAAGCAGAGATTTGCCAAGGTTATCTGAAAATTTGACGGCAGAATCAGCCCCCATGATACTGTTCAGGCCCACGAAAAGAGGCGCATAGAAAAGCGACTCCTTCTTCTCCTTCTTCTCTACCTCAACTTCCACCACCTCTATCTCCATTTTTACCTTCAACTCCTCGACCTCTTGCTCCTGCTCCTGCTCCTGTTCACCCACACCAAAATTTATTCCTTTCCAGCCCTCATCGATCAAGATGCATCGTTCTCGAAGTTTTTGGTGTGCTTCCTCAACGGAAAACTCCTCGACGACCGGAAGAACTGCTCGTTTGAAGAGATCGAAGGTTATTTCCGGAATACTCATAGGTAGGATTCGTTATACCACCTCGCTCCTCACGTAATCTATTTTGTGCTCGGGACCTGCTAACGACTGAAAGACGATCCGGGGAGTATCGGGCAAGTCTTGCGAGGACATAGAACGACAAGAAAGACAAAATGGTAACATTGGTATTTAGCGACTCCTGTTTGATATTGGGTATGGGCACCAAACTATTCGTCCACTGACTAAGCGGGCGCTTATTTCATAGGAGCCGTTAAAGATGGGACTTCTCAGATCTGCAATCGAGAAGTATGCTGATGCAAATGGTTCTCGATGTATGGGGGAGCCTGTACAAGGCAGATTAAGTGACGGGGAGGAAATACTGGATGTTACTGTAGAGGAACTGGATGGATTTGACTCGGAAGGCTATGATTCAGGGGAGGATCATGAATAGAGGCATACAATTGACTCAAATAATTTTTAGATACACTAGATGCATAATTAGTACTCTAATGAATTCCTATCCCTCATAAAGCGAAGGAATCTGGAGGCGAAGGTTCAGCGCGACTGATTTCAGAACCAGAGACCAAGCGCCCGCTGAGTCAGCGGACGGAAACTTTGGCGGGGCTGCCCATACTCAGTAATAGGAGACCAATTGGCAATGTGACCGTTTTGTCTTTCTTGTCGTTCCATGTCCTCGCCAGACTTGCCCGATACTCCCCGGATCGTCTTTCAGTCATTAGCAGGTCCCGAGCACAAAATAGATTACGCGAGGAGCGAGGTGGTATAACGAATCCTACCTATGAGTATTCCGGAAATAACCTTCGATCTCTTCAAACGAGCAGTTCTTCCGGTCGTCGAGGAGTTTTCCGTTGAAGAAGCACACCAAAAACTTCGAGAACGATGCATCTTGATCGATGAGGGCTGGAAAGAAATAAATTTTGGTGTGGGTGAGCAGGAGCAGGAGCAGGAGCAAGAGGTCGAGGAGTTGAAGGTAAAAATGGAGATAGAGGTGGAGGAAGTTGAGGTAGAGAAGGAGAAGAAGGAGTCGCTTTTCTATGCGCCTCTTTTCGAGGGCCTGAACAGCATTATGGGGGCTGATTCTGCCGTCAAATTTTCAGATAATCCTGGCAAACATCTGCTTTCAGAAGACGATCATTCACACTATAAAGCGGACGTTCACGGCCTTCTAACCAAAACCACAGCAGTTCATCCTATTACTGAAGGAGCAGAATACGAGTGCGATGTTTTGATGACGGGGGAACTGAACAAGAAGTCTACGCCGGACACTGTCGATGATGTGGGTAAGATTTCCATACGGGCTTCTGATATGCTAATTTTCGTGTAGAATAACAAGAAAGTTTTATCTAATGCGACACATATTATGGGTGCTGATCCCACACGTCGATTTATGTTTGGCTTAACGATCGATGGGTTCAATGTTCGACTATGGTTCTTCTCCCGGTCGCATGTATTCGTTACAGAGGCGATGAATCTGCATATCGTGAATACCTCCGATCTCCCTATATTCCTGATTTTGAATGTTTATCTCAACAGGACGCCAAAAATTTGATCTACTTTGCTTTGTCCCTCAGCGGAGCCTGTCGGGAGGAACTAGGATATGACCCTACAGTCAGGAGAGTACAGGGAAAGGACGGAACCGGTCCGCGCTATATCTTCACCATCGACAGCAAGCAATACATTACCACGGAAGCTATCACCGTTCGCAAGGCAAAATTTCTGCTCGGATGCGCCACTCGTTTATTCAAAGTTCAGCAGGTTCTCAGTGACAAAGGAGACCTTGATAGTGAGGTCAAGGTGATCAAAGACTATTGGTTACCTGAGGACTCTTGCACCGAACTAGAAACTCGTTCAGCTATCGAAGCTAATATCCAGAAGGTTAACGCCGTCCCAAATCTAGACCGGAGCGCTTTCAATAGATACTTTGTCAAGATTGAAGCCTGCGAGAAAGTTCCGGTACCCTCTACAACTGAGAAGGGACAAACTCCTGACTCCACCTCGAATTTTCTTCGGGGACAAACTCTTCCTTCCGACGTCAAGCGTTTCACCGTTTCGGCGCAATCCTCTACTTACCAACGAGTAATGAGTGTGAGCATTCCAGCCTCGATCATGATGGAATCTGGACCAGGGCGTGAACGGCGTCAGGAAACTGCCCTCCGTGAAGCTACCGCTGTTCATCTTGCGAGACTCGATCGTAGGACCTACGCACCCAAAGTTCATTGTCGACAACTTTCGGAGTTTGCGGGAGAACCGCTGGATCAGATGACGAACTGGGATATTGTTTTGAAGGCGTTAGAATCGTTAATCATCGGTAAGCCTAGTTTCATCCTCCTCTGGAAGTACATAAATCTTTCTAATTCTAAGTCCTAGCTCTTGCGTATATGCATTCTGCTGGCTTTGTTCATCGCGACATCAGCGCTGCGAATGTGTTGGTAAAAGATGGGAATGCCAAGCTTAATGACTTGGAATACGCGAAGCGTGTTCAGCCAGCAATTGAACCTCGCTCTGCATCATCAGATGTCAAAACAGTGAGTCTACTGGATAATCCTTGTGATCTGACTAATTCGACTCGCTAGGGCACATTGTTCTTCATGCCGGTCGAAGTGATAGAAGGCGAATACCTGTTTGAACCTACAGATTATGTGCGCAAGTCCAAGTCCGCGCCATCGTTTCCGTTTCGGTATCACTACATCCATGATCTTGAATCGGCGTTGTGGGTTTTCGTCTACCTTCTCATGACAAGATGGCCGATTTCAGGGCCTTGTCCAAGCGAAGAACAACAGAAAGCACGGGATGAGGGTTTCTCTAAAATTTTCATTTTCGGAAGACGCGAAGAGATTCTTAACGGCAAGAAGCGGTTGGTTGGTCTCGTTTCGGAAAGCATGCCGGAGGTTTTTGATTCCGCTTGGGACTGTGCGTTGGAGTTTGCTGCGGTCGTGAAGGAAAAGTATTGTGCGCTGCAGGAGTCACTACCGATCGATTTCAGCGATGCTTTTCATCCTTCGATGTACTCAGATTGGCGGCGGGCATTCGTTCGTTGTGCGACAGAGGGCTGGGCAGGGGTAGTCACTCCATCGCGCGTCGCGCCAAACGACCCGACCAAGAAGTTGAAAGTTACTTAGCTTTGAAGATTCCATTGTCTTTTGTCCCTCCCATGCGGGGAACCCCCAAGAAAGTTATCAACCTGTACGCCGACCCGACTCAGACGACTCAAGTTCTTCTCCTTCTTCAACTTCTTCAGCCTCTCCATCCATCTACCAACTGTCGTCCGACGATTACGCCCTCACTTCCTCCCGGGTGGCATGCAGGAGTCAGAGCCAGAACCGGGAAAGTGCGTCGTTGGACGGGAATTTCTCCCGAGGTTCTGAACCCAGCTGGGACTCGAAATGAAATAGATTACGATTCCGAATTGAGGGGTAACAGAATGATACTAGTATGGTGGGGCCCTTATTTTCGTGACGCACCCATCTACTGGTGAGGGCTTATGGGACAAATCGCGCAGAAAGCTCTCAACGGGCTCTGTTGTTGTATTTGATTGAATTTTCAATTGTACACACACTTCATCCTTGTACATACTCCATCCATTGGTAATAAACCCTTCAGCACGCTTTTTCAGCTAGGCCAGTGGCCAGCAGTGGCAGCCAAAGCTTAAATCAGGACCCATGCGGGACCACGGTAAATTCGCCATTGTTCTCTTTCGAGGACACAATTAATAAGTACCCTCAATCCACTTGGACTCGACTCGACTCAATTCCCAAAAGCGGCAATTGCAAGACGCGATTTGATGTCGAAGTCTAGATTCGTGGGAACCAAAACCTGGGTGAATTGAGTCATGATTTCGCTCACGTGTGAGGGAAATTAAAGTATCTATTGTTCTCTTCGCTACCACACGGCGAGTTATGTATATATTAGCGAGTTATTAGGACTTTTGCTTTCTTTCTCTCCTGTTTTCTGCCTCAAATGACTTTGGTCTTGTCTCGGTCGGGATCTTTATCGTCTTTATCATCGTTATCGACCATCGCCACTCCAACCACAACGAGAACTTCGCCTCCACCACCACATTCCTCCTTGCCCCCAGGATGTACTTCCTCCGCCTCCGCCCCCGCCTCCAACCACACCCCTCGGCCCCTCCAAGAAGAAAAAACCGAGCCATACTACGCTGACGACTCGTACAAAGACCCGCCTCCGCCGGCACACGTGCTCACTTCGGAGTTTGGAGTGAAGATTAGAGATTTCGCGTATGAGAAGGGCGGGGTGGAGGTGAGGAGGGTGAAGAAGTACGTGAGGCCAGAGGGACAGGGAATAGGGAGGAGAAGAGAACCGGTGTTGGTGCAGAGACAACCGACGCCGCCGGGGCAGAGGGGGTGGATGTGGGGTGTGGGTGTGGGTGTGGGTGGGGGTTATGAGAATGCAGAAGCTTCGACATCTAGTGGGTTAACTCGCCAGAGAGTGGTTCAGGATATCGAGGATTTGGAGTTCCATTCCCAGTCACAATCTCAATCTCAATCTCAATCCCAGCCGCAATCGTTACCGCCATTCGAACACATAACGTTCTCAGAATCAGACGGTGAGCCGTATATCGAGACACCGGCTGTTACCCCGAATGGGTCCTTGCAGTGGAAGACGACCACGGCAGAGGAAGAGTTGACTCTTCCTTCATTACACAATCTCCCTTCCTCTAAGCGAGCATCCGAACCCGACGACGAGGAACCGCACCACACTACTCCTCCACAGCCCCCAACCAAGAAACAGCGCGTCGTCTCTCCAATCAAACGCTACAACCTCCGCGAACGACGGCCACCCGCCACCACTCTCTTACCCCCCTCACGTCTGAGAAACATCCTCTCCGTGGAATCTTCGCAGTCTCAGCTGTCGACGGGGCCGAAAGGGAGACGAAAAGGAAAGGCGAGGACTACGAGGGTTTGAGCCCCTCTATCTACATCGATCCCAGCGCCACCTCCTTGTTGTTTCTTTTTTTTTCGTCTGCCACCTGTCGCTTTGTATCATGGCTATGTTGTATATGGGGTTTCTAGGGATGACGAGGGGTTGTTTCTTCTCTTGCAATTGGGACTGGACTATCTATATATATATGTGTGTGTATGTGAATTCCACAATTCCTTTGCTTCTGTTCCTGTAAAATCTCTGTTTTTCCTTTTTCTTATGTACCCTCCTTCTCTGTTGTTGTTCTCTCAAAATGCTATATGCTATATCCTATCATTGATGTGACATGTGAGAATTACTTATTCCCTCAATTGAAGATTTCAAGAGTCCCTGACCTGTAAATCAATTATCCAGTGATTGAACGTCCATTGGGGGGAGTCTTGTTACTGAGTTTGATGCCCCGGGAGGCCCCCGGCCAACTTTTGCACTTCTCATGAATCGTTGCGTTTGTCCCTCGGCATTCAGGAATTACCCAAATGAAGTAGGTGCAAAAACTATCCTCGCTGCTCATTGAATCTTTGCTTTAAGGATCACACATCAAAGATTATATAATCTACTGCCCTGTTCCCGACCACACTCCCCCCTGCCTGGCTTGCCTCGAATGGATTCTGATTCAGGAAGGGCTCGCTGACCAATGTCTCTGCGTATGCCCGCCCAGATGACTTATTATATATTCTAAACATCATGGTCCGTGGAAAACCATTCGTGGCTCTGGGAGAAATGAAATTATGTTTGCTGATTACGAGTCGGGATAACTAGCCAAAAAATCCGGCTCTGAGTGAAAAGCCTGCTGAAGGGTCAAGGCAGGCTTGCAAATGTTTGAAGAGGGGAAGAGAGAACTTGGGGTGGCTGCTTTGAATGGAAATGGGCTGGCGTGCACATGACTTACAGTCAATGCAGAAAATAATGAGAATGTGTGAGGACGTTCACAACAGCAAAAACAGCTCTACTTATAAAGTAGAGGTAGAGGTAGAGGTAGAGCTCTAGGTAGAGTTAGAGCTCAAAATAGAGGTTCACCTAAACTCTACTTTTTTGTTAGTTCCGTCAAGTAGAGCTCTACCTCTGTTCCGTCAAGCCGTCCGGTCCCCGGCTCTTCCCAACCGCAGCTCGGTTCTTGCTCCTCTACGTTGACCATCCCCGCCCCTCGACGTTCTATCTGCATTCCCTCTGCACAGATTCACAAATTTTCGGTATATTTTGGCGTTCCCGCTCACAGGTGAATCTAGAAGATCTAGAATAGGATTGATTTTGAGCCACACTCAGGGCGAAGATTTGATAGTTACACACACGGTGCGTTACCACTGTTACTCCAACCCTCGTATTGCTCACATCCTATCCTGTAGGCACTGACCCGACGTCTTTTCTATACTATACACAAAGTATTAGACGTCTATCCTTCTGCTAATTCATCCAACATTTTCATCTAAATGAGTTCGGTGCTGCAACTTTTGTCAGCCCTGTCAACATCTTCTGAATGCGCTGAGATCTCTTTTGCGCATCTGGATCAATTCATACACTTTGCTCGCCATCTCCAACCCGAAATTTCTCTCGGAACTCTTAAATCTGATACTCCGCCAACGTCCTTACCTGAGCATGTTCAAGTCTTCTTATCGCGCACGCTTGAAATGCCAATATCTACGATTGTTAGTCTCTGGTCTAGTCTTCGACAATATATCTGGGGCATTCCACAGCCTCACATAACCTTGCTTGAATGCTCTCTATTCAATGAGCATGGTTCCCAGCTCCCAAAGAAGCACGAAAAAATAGGTAAGTGCTTCTCGTTCTCTTTGTTGCTGGCAGCGCTGATATCCTTCTCAAGCGTTCTATATGTTCTATCCTCCACATACAAGATGTCCTTGTTGCAACTCAGTTCTGACAAGCATCTCCCATATAGCCGCAACATACTTTACTAGAGACGGACCATTTCCTGCTTATTCTACATCCCTACGATGCAAAGCTGGTATGTGCAACTATGCTTTCTGGCATTCAAGCTACTGATAGCTCAACTCTTAAGGCTCGTGTAACATTCGATATTACCTCAATTTCAGTGTCGATCTCAGTCTCAATCTGCGGCAGTACTATGACCAGCCTCTTCCGGAAATCATCCACCTCAAGGAGCACTCATTCATTCAGACAGCTGTCTCAGAGCTGTTCACTGCCTGCACTTTGTTTGCCTGGGTCTCAGCTCAGAACTGTGCACTAATCTACAACCACGCACTTTCGTCCTATGGTCATGAGGAGGTCAGCGAAAGCAAATTCATGCTTACATCTACGCAAGTATGGCGAGCATTTGTTCTAGTGTCGCTGCTCAAAAATTGGAGGGAACGTGGGCGACAATTAACGATGCAAAATCATGGTGATCTCAATGACCGGCTGAAGGAGATTATGTCTGAATGAAACCAGCTCATGATCATCGAAGGTCAGCCTGAACGACTGCATGCTTGCGATACATGCAAGAAGTTAATACCCTCTGACCTTCCTAACTCTTACAAAGAGCTTCGTATGTCACTATTCTGTTTCCTTGACTTAAAATTAATCTGTTTCTTATATTCAGGATCTCTATGTGCAGTTGTGATGGATGGTGTCACCATTGGGCATCCATGCTGCAAGGTCCACAACTGCACTCAACCTCTTCCAAACAACCGTCATCAGTGGTGTCAAACACACATGGACTGACAACACATGTGCGTGTTCGCTGAATGTGATCGCCCAGCTCGTTCTGGTCATCGGACCTGTAGTGAGCCTGACCATTCAAAGTACGAAGACTATAGGAACCTCAAGGGAAAAGGTTTCTTTCTTCTCCGCCAGCGACTACAGCGTGCCGGGATTCATCAGCCATCAACGTCGCTGTCATCCTTTTCGCCATTGGAGTCTTTGGAGTTTGAACTCGATGTTGACTCTGATGAGCAAGATCTCATGCATAAGTCTGATAAAGGTAATTGGCCATCGAAAGCATTCTTTGCTCGTCGTCGGACCCACAATGCGCAGCTGGTGGTCTGTGCATGTGGGATTATCAGTGCTCGAGCTACCATGTTTGGTGCCGAAGCTATCTCTGGAGTCAAGGTAAGTTGCTTTTCAGAATGTTCCAGATGTTTTTGCTCATTATGGTCCACAGGATTTTCTCAAATCTGTCTACCCGAATCGAAATGATCTTCCTGATGTAATTTTCTATGATAATAATTGCCATCTTCAGAGTCACTTGCAGGCTCAGCAGGACCTCTTCTTTCGAGGAACGATGCTTCCGGTTGATGTCTTCCATTTCAAATCAAAACACAAGGAAAGCGATGAGTTCTGCCAGAAGCATTGCAACCCATTGCAGTGGACGGAACTGGTTGGAGATAATGGCGAGTGGGTGTTCAACTCATCAGCAGCCGAGCAGGGTAATGTATGGATTGGTGGATATCAGGCAATTGTGCACGAGATGTTACCACACAACTATAACTTTTTCCTTGATGAAATGATTAAGAGACGGAATGAGGTGCTAGTGGCAAAGCTTCGCCGAGCTGGCAATGCTCCTTATCGTATTCCTCCTTACCCAGCTGTGTTGTAGCTATTATAAGCATTCAACGTGTAAAGAACATTAGTACCAATGTACTTCATATTCTCTGTACAAATAACAAGTTGATTTAACTATAGTAAGGCAACAATATAGAACACGTTAAAGTCAAAATAGTGACTACTGTTATCTAGTCAGAATCTAATGAGATGATTTCTGGTGAAAAATCTTCCAGCTTTACCCTCGACAAGCTACCTCTGGCTTCCTGCTTAATTTTCCTTCCAGCCTGATACTTCGGCAAGCTTCCGCCATTCATATTCTTCACCTCTTGAATATAATCCCGCCATGTACTATGTGGATCCTTGTAAAACCTCTCCTTCAGCTCAGGTGTTCCATTTGCCCAGGCCGCCCTTTGCAATGATTTAGTTTGAGCTGATGTCTTTGGAAATACATTGTCATGCTTCAAACGTCGATTTTCATCTAGCTGAGTAAAGCCATCATGCATTCCGCGGTAAAGCTTGTAAGGCCAACTTCTATGACGAGAATTGGGCTCAGTGAGATCAATAACTTGCATAGGCTTATTGGTAACTGCCAGGATGGTTTTTGCTTTTTTTGCTTTTGGCAAGGGAGTTGGGCTGGTAGCACAAATAAACAGAGAAGATTGGTCTGGAAGATCGGGTGACTCTGAAAGGTCCCGAACAGTCTGAAGCTTATGCCTCGGGGTTGTGGGAGGTGGAAAGGGAGAGAGAAATAGAGATAAGTGAGTTGATGGAGCCAAAGTAACATGTGAATCAAACTGGGAAGGTGAACGTGATGGAGTTACTGTGGAACGTGGCTGAGAAGATGCACCAGATGGGGTCTGGGACGGGGTAGATGGTGGCGGTATATCAGCTGCTAATTTGCGTTTGCGTAGATTGCCAAGACGGTTAATTTCTGTCTTCTCTGCTTCCTCCATCTCTTGACTGGGAGTACAGCCATTAGCTCGAACCAGGAGAACTTCACCATCCCAGAGAAGTCGCTTTTGTTTACTTTCCTGGAGAGGCCAACCCTTTGCCTGTGGATCATATACCCATACAAGTTTTCCATCTATGGCACCAATGACTTCTCGTACCGCAACTGAGCAATCATCAAAGCAGAAGAAGGGATAGGTTGAACACTCAACAGTGAGCATGTCCTGAGAACCATCTGCAGCCCAGAACTTGATGAGAATATTCCGCTTGACATGATCAGCATAGGTGTTTCGATTTTGAAGAATTTTGGAACGCTCATGGTGATCAATGTGAGCCTGGTCTCGGTGCTGATAATGAAGCAGCTGAAGTGGACGCAAGTGAGTATACATCACATTGGGACCTCCAGATGATGACTTTGCTGTTGCTGGTTTGTGAACTGCTTCCTTGCAGGAGCAGGAAGCCTCGATTTGGTAAAGGGCGCAGCAAGTCTTGCAGAGCTTGAAACTACAGTTGTCATTGACCTTTGCACGCTTTGCATCAGGTTTACCAAAGCAGTTACGGCCAAGGCAGACATTACGGTAAGAACCATTGATGAATAATTTTTCTATTTGCCCAATCTGCCAAGAAAATGAACATGGTACCTGGACACTAGGCTCTCAATTGGATACCGGTGTGTTAGGCAGAATGCTGTCAAAAGAATATTGTTCTAGAGCAAGGGGTCAACTGTAAGTTCTGCTAATTTCGAAGCTACATACCATTCAAAGTACTGATTGAGGATTCATCTAGAGCTCCAGAGGGAATCTCAGCTGAATCTGACACAAACAAAGTGAGTTTGCAATTCCAACACACAGGAAAAAAATATGGACCAGGGCTGATATTTGTTGGTGATGGTATTACATCTTCTTCAGCTTGGTCCAACTGTTGCGAGAAGCTCAAAGCTTCTTCCTCAGTCAGAGTTTGATCAGGAATCTCAATTGACAGAGCTTCACTGAAGTCAAAGAGAGACTCCAATGCTGCATGTCGTTTGGCCTGTGGATCTGTTGAAGGTGGCCAAATGGAAATTCGAGCTGGCGAAGGAGGAAATGGTTTGAATGGGCGAGCCTCCGTTCGTTGATCAAGCAATTGCTGTATTGACATGCAGGACTTGGTTTTTGGGCTTAGTTCAGGCAGAACCCCGCGACATGCTTCATAGCGAACTAAGTCACTGACAAATTGAGGCGGGATGTCAAGCCTCCATGTAAGAAAATGGTTATCAGATGTGTTGTGTTCATTTACACACTGGATCATTTATTATTCAGTGAGTTAAGTGAGTGGAATGCAACATACAGCCTCATAAGAATACCCTTGATGATGGGCATAGTTGGACCCAGTACAGACATAAACTTGGACTGGATTTAAGCACCCTCTCTTGGTACATTGCAGGAAGAGCGGGGGAGTCTCAGAGACCTTCCGTTTGTAGTGGGTAGTGGGAGGAGCCATCGAGGTCAAGGTAACAAGATACAACTTACAAGCCTCACAAGTCCTTTAAATATACTTGAAGTGAGATTCATTGTTTCCAAAATAGCCCATAAAAGGCAATTATTCCAGAGGCCCTTCAACGCGTAATAGACAATTCAAGGTGGTTGTGACCGTGTTCTTTGTTTGGCGGCAGTCATCGGCAGCCATGAGAGGCACTTACTAAAGCTCCGGGCCCAGAAGTACAACATAGAGCTCTACATTTAACACAAGCTCTATTTTGTAAAAAAAAGACCAAGCTCTACTTTCTAGCCACAGCTCTACCTTTACCTCTACCTCTACCTCTATTTTGTTTTGTAGAGCCCTGTTTTTGCTGTTGTGAAAGCTCTGGAATGTGTAAAGTTTTTTTTTCAATGTGTGAGTTATGTAGATGGTGATGCGTGTTGCTCATTTTATCTAAATTAGGAATGTTACATTCTTGTCTTGCCACTTATCATGGTCAATCGCCGTATCCGCCCCTGACATAAAGGAATGTGCACTAAGTTGGGATCATTTTGACAATTATTTTGCTCTTGGTATCTCAAAGTGAAGCTTGTACTGTTGGAGGAGCACCTTTGAACAGATTGGTGCCATTGTAAAACCACCCATCACCAAACCAAGGTTGCCCTAGAGTCATTGGCCTTGCTGCATTCACTGCAATGGAGGACATCTATTGAATCAATGCCAACACATACCTGTAAGACCTGGGTCAGAATTGGTCTTAGGGGTGGATTTGGTACAAATGGTTTACATTGTAGCATGCTAGGAGCAAACTGGAGCTTGAAGGGAGCTATGGGAACTGCAACTGCGGATAGGAATGACCTAGTAGTAGTACTGAGTGTGAGATGTGACCCTTGAGGGGGTTCCTAGAAGGTCCAGGGAGGTCCCTAGGGCAATAACTGTTGAGCAGGCATGGGGTGCATAGTGGGGACACTCTCCAGCACCATACATGGGTAACAAGACTTATAATCTCAGAGAGGCAATAAGAGTGAGAGTGTCATGAAGTTTCATGATGCGCCCTTTGATGCGCCATCAGCGGTGTGTTCCCATCAATCTCTTTTCACATTTTTATTGTACTTTATCACACGATCATCCCATTAGTTCCATTTGTTTCCATACGCTTCCATAAACTCATCCTTATTCATCGATTAGTTCATTATGGTTCATTATTGACTCATTATTACTCGTATATATTGATTCCTCACTCTTGTTTTATATCACATCATTATTCACAATCACTTACTCATTAGACAAGAGTAGTATATAAAGGACAGTAGACAGACCCTAGTTCCCCATCTCGACCTCTTGGTCATTGGGCAACTAGGCAAGTACTTGTATCCTTTTAGATACTACCTATCTAACTTGGTCATTGGGCAACTAGATTCCCTTTTGATTACTGGTGTGATTGGCCTCTGACGCTATCCCACTGTTGTTCAAGATCATTACTTCTTTCATCTGTGCTTGTGCTTGTTTCTGTGCCTCTTCACTCTGCCACTGTCACTCCTAGGTGTATCCGGACCTTTCGCCTCCCGCTTCCTGCCTCGTCGCAACATTAGGTTGAGATCTTCTACTTGTACCATCAGCTTGGTGAGCTGATCTTACAAGGCATCCACCACGTCTACCTTCGGAGTCAACATTGATTGCTCCAACCACTTTCATGCACTTGATACTGTAACTAACACCACTTGCTACTGGGACACTGAAGAAGAAGAGTGGGAACCCTGTTCCAAACAACCGTGCCCTAATCGATATGAAAACACATTTGACGCAAGTCCGACCAACCGTTACCAACCCATCCACAGACCAGCACCACCTGCCAGGGTAGGACAAATCAGTTCTCCTACTACTTCCACTCCTGCACCTCCACTAGCACCTTGTCAAGTCCATGCCTCGGCGCCCCATTCCACCACTCAGTATTCCGAGATCCACCTTTATTGTAATCTCTTTCTTATTGTTCTTTCTCGCTACACATACCCTTTCATTCTAGCCTCTCCTTATTGTCTTTTACTTTACCCTGCAGGTACTACTCGTATAGCTCCTAGTAGTTAGTCTAGCGCTCCGCACCGATGTGCCGATCCGTAGATATAAATATTGCCTGTACGCTACTGTAGTTCCTCAGTTTAATCACAACTTAGATTCCCTCTTTGATCTAGTCCTCTCTTAAGTCTTCAGGCTCCTCGCCTCAAAGTACTCTCGACTACAACCTTAGGACTTAGTTCCTTGGTTCGCTCCTCGTCATTGGCAATACCGCCGCTCCGACTTCGCTGCTATTGGCTCCTCCCTTCTATACTCTCAATCTCCGGGGACTAATGGCGTAACGGCAGTGTTGTTAATAACTTCACCACTGTCCCACTCGACCTTCCACCCTTAGACACCTTGTGGCCTTTGGCACGGTTACACGGTGTACATGATCTTAACAGTATAATTAAACTCAATCCGTTAACGTTGTACTGACATATGATTTTTTATGCTTCTGAGAACTCGAGCTCAATCTAGAGCTAACTCCGAAGAAAATACTTTCTTCACCACAGCTCAATCATTTGCCCCTTTCTCCGAATCTATTTCTGCCATCGGTCAACCACGTCGCTGTAATCACGGTTTTGGTCCAGCCACAATTCCTACTATGTCGACTCTCGCTGAAACTATGGAAGAAGATCAACAATTCAAGTACAGTACTTTGTATACCGGTGATGGACAGCCTGTCCAAGTCTTAACCCCTCACCGTGGACAACCCCCCGTGGTCGCTCCGGCTCAGGGCCGGTCTATTACTCAAATTGATTTTCCCATCCTCCAAGCCATAGCTCGTCATACTGGGAAACAACCTCAACGTCGTGCTACTTCACAATCTCCTCGTGACCCGCCTCCTCACTTTGATCTGGACGCTGGTGATCATGACAATCAAGACCCTCCTGTCGAACCCGAGGATCCGGGTGCCGACAACAACAATCCTGACAACAACAATCTGGATGATGACTCCGGCGGTTTGCCATGTGGTGAGCCTGGTGGACCTGGTGGTCCCAGCGGTCCCGGCGGTTCTGGTGGACCTGGTGGACCCCATTCCCCAATCTCTCCTGACATCCCCAATGAGCAACGTGCTATGTTGGAACTTCTCTTGGGTTTCAAGGGTTCCATTGAAACCCTTGGTTCCGTTCTCGCCACTCTTGGCCAACCTTCTGACAGCTCTGAATCTAAGAGCAAAGTCAAGGAGCCAGAGGTATTTGACGGTTCGGACCCCCGAAAGCTCAAGACATTCTTTGTCAATCTCGCCCTGGTCTTTAATGACTGTCCAAAGTATTTCACTGACCAACGGAAGGTGAACTACACCCTTTCCTATCTCAGTGGGTCAGCCAAAGAATGGTTTATCCCTGACATTCTCGATCCGGATCTCAACTCGCTGCTGCCGTGGATGTCCTCCTTCAAAGCTCTGGTTAAAGAGCTTCAGGACAATTTCGGCGTTTACAACGCGCAAGGCGAGGCCGAAGATTCTCTCGGTAACCTGAAGATGAAGGAAACCAAAAACATCGGGAAATACAACATCCAGTTCAACACCCTGGCTGCTAGTACCAACTGGGATTCTGCTGCCCTGAAATGGGCTTATGGACGAGGTTTGGCTGAACGCATTAAGGACGAAATGGCGCATTTGCCCGAGCCAGCGAAGCTCGCCGATTATCGTCAAGAGGTTCTTCGAATTGACAACCGCTATTGGAAGCGCGAAGAAACCAAGAAACGTGAGGCTGGTAAACCTTTCATTGCTCGGAACCCGAAGAAGGGTTCCTCGGACTTACGACCTGAAGATTGACTTGGAAGAAGGCACTTCGCCGCCTCTCGGTCGAATTTATCCTTTGTCTGAAAAGGAGTTAGTCACCCTCAAAGACTTTATTGACAAACAGCTTGCCACTGGTGCCATCACCCCATCTTCCTCGCCTCACCGTGCTCCAGTGCTCTTTGTTCCCAAGAAGGACGGGAAACTTCAGCTTTGCATGGACTTCCGCGGTCTCAACCACATCACCAAGAAGGACCGCTACCCTCTGCCGTTGATCTCGGACCTCCTCAACACTCCGAAACTAGCTAAAATCTACACCAAATTGGACCTCGCTCACGCTTATCATCTAGTCAGAATAGCAGAAGGTGATGAATGGAAAACCACCTTTCGGACCCGCTACGGCTCTTACGAATGGAAGGTTATGCCATTCGGCCTTATGAACGCACCAGCTGCTTTCCAACATTTTGTTAATGACATTTTCTCTGACATGCTAGATGTTTGTGTCATCATCTATCTTGACAACATTCTGATTTACTCTGACACGCCGGAGGAACACCAAGAACATGTCAAGGAAGTTCTTCGGCGGTTACGGAAACATTGGCTTTACGCCAATCCTGACAAATGCGAGTTCAATATGGATACCGTTGAGTACTTGGGTTACATTCTTTCTCCTGACGGATTGACTATGTCCAAAGAGAAAGTACAGACCATTCTGGAATGGCCTGTTCCTAGGAAGGTTAAGGACATTCAGTCCTTTTTGGGTTTTGCAAACTTCTATCATCATTTTATTTATAATTATAGTGATATCGTTGTGCCAATGAGTCAGCTTACCCGGAAAGGTGCTCCCTGGATCTGGGACAACGATGACATGCCTAAATTTTGGCTAGACGTCTATGCTGTGAATTGAGACATTTTCACACATAGATTCGTATCGAGAGGACTGTAATTGAGACCCAGATTGACAGTCAAAGTCAATACTGAATCAGTCTAATAAGTTGAAGGGACCATATACCCATACTACCACAAGCTGGTTAGTTTACCCATCCCCGATACTACCTCCGGATAGCAGTCTACCTGTTTGTCAAGCAGGATTATACCAGACTTGGACTACATCTGAAGGATGACCATTCACGTATGACATACCAAGGGTATTCTTATTTGACCTTACACTGGCAGGAGTTTGGAAGAACTTACTCAAGTGACCATGAGCCGAGGATTGACT